ACCAATAGGATAAAGTGAATCTTATTTTGATTGGCAATTATAATTTCATCAGATTAAAGTACAGACAGTAATATTAGTATGGTAATTAAATAATTAAATAAATTAAAAAAATTAAAGTACAGACAGTAATATTAGTATGGTATGGTTTGACAATAACAATAACAAATTTATAGGACTTAGGCATCTAATCTTCCCTTACGTAAAATCAAATCCAATTACGTCTTTCCTTGTAGAAAATCTCCGTTTAAAAATAATTTAAATCAGGTCGTAATTAGAAAAAACTTATATGTATCGCGTTTTAAACCGTCAAAAGCCTTTCATTTAAATGTACTTCTACTATGCATAAATTCCAGGCCATACTTCTTTAGAAAACATCTCTTAATCCTATAAACTGTAAATTAATATTATTGACCGCGGTGTCATTTTTTACATATTCGATAGACCGGTTCCGAATTGTACAACAGGTTGCGACCCACATCCGAGAAACTTTCTTCATGCTAATAACTGCTGAGAAATCTGACAGTGATTCAGAATTTTAAATCTCCTTTTTTGATACTAGTAATTGTGTCCACTTACCTTCCGCTTCTTTACTAGCAGGCCTGTCAAGGATGTAAAAACACCAGCCAAGTACGACTCGGCATAAAATGGTGATCTATACTAATATTATAAAGCTAAAGGAACTACTGGTTCAAATTGAAAAAATCCTTGTGTTGGATAAGGCTTTAGGCTATTAAACAAGAGGATTTGAGAGATTCCGTTTCGTTCTCTGCGAAAACGGTTCATGAATCTAAAAAAGAATGTATGAAAAAAGTATTCTTCATGGAATGATCTTACTAATCTTTTTTAGATTAGTGTATGTCTATCTTTTAAGAATCACTCGCAAGAATGACGGGAGGCGGACGACGCCGTGGGTATCGGCTATAATTTATAAAGATTTAAAAAAAATAATAATATAATGCCTAAAATAAACATACCACGCAGGTGAAGCCATGGACACAGCTACTAATCTACATAAAATTGTCATGGTTATAGTATGTAATATAACGTAGCCCTTTTTGCAGAATCCAAACCTATAAATTTAGCAGTACAGGCGCATTCGGTCGCAGTGCCTTATCACCTTCTTTTATCGTTCGCTTCCCTTAGTCTCCTTGTCTCCTCCAAGTAATTATTTAATTGGTTCTATTTATGCATTTGAGTCAATAATCCACTTAATTAAACTTGGGCTACTATACACACAGTACAGTACAGTACGAATCAACGGGTACAGCAATAATTAACGGGTCGAACATTTTTCTAATTAATTTGTAATTCTTCTGATAAATGTTCGACTTCGTCTGGAAATCTTAATATATAAATGGGTGGTAGGAATATCGGAATTCCACAGACGAAAAAAACATGAAGTTTAATCACGTTTTGGTGTCAGTCAGTGGATTTCCGAGTATCCAAAGCCGAAGTTGGTCAACAGCGCGTCTTTAGATGCTATAGAGTGAAGTTTTTTACCTACCATCAAGTTAACCCGAACCTTGTCAGCCTCCCCTATTATAAAGTTAGGAGAAACGAGAAATCGTTACCAATTTTGAGTTTACCAGACTTTTTTCGTTCGTAGGCCATGGGTGATGGGGCCAGTGCAAGACACATATTTGAGCTTCACTGGTCGATTTTACTTCTCACACTTCTATGCCTTGACAGGAACTATGGTTTCTGCAGAGTTTGAACTTAGGACCTCTGCTACAGGCAGTATTTCTCGTAGAAGAATGTACAGCATCATAAGCAGTAAGATCCAAGGTCAATCATTTATGCAACCCGAATTGCCAAATTATGCTTAAGACTGGTGATTAATTTTAAATTCAGTGTTTCGATATATCGCAAAATGTCAGTAAACTATCATAAACGCTAATGTTCCTAAACCAGGATAATAGTTCAATTTCACAATTTAATATTCAATCTAGCCAAAACTGATTTACAAATTATTTAAATGCTATTTGGCAACTAATGGAACCGATTAGTGATTGCAAAGTTTTGTAATAAAGCGGTATCCATGAAAAATATACATTTCCTAGACCACCGATAAAGCGTTAAGTATTTTATTTAAATGTGTACTACAGGCAATACTTGTATACGATTGTATACACCGCCCTAAATAAATGTGTATTAGTTAGATACTCCGGTGTTTTCATGTTTTTCTTTACTAAGATCGAATCCAATAGTCCATACGGATCTTATATAGAGGAATAAATAATTTATCTCGGTATAAATGGGTGGTAGGAATATCAAAATTCGGTCCAGGCCAGGAATCACTGTCCACAGATAAAAAAGCCGCGAAGTGTAATCGCGTTTCGGCTTCAGTCAGGATTTCCAAATATCGATATCAAAATACAAGCGGCCTCTGTACCTAAATTGTGAAACGTGTTGCCTAGCATTAAGCGCGAGAATTCCTGGCTTCGAATCCCGGAAAACGTTGAATTGTCTCGGTTGCGCACAGAAGTCTGATCAACTTGCAAAAGAATCGGTCAATCAGTGAAGCAAATGCAGATATGTGTTCGCCCCATGCCCCACAGGGGGAAACGGGATTACACTAGCACTAGTAAATCAAAGTCGACAGCGTATCTTGTTCAGATGTTATACGACTAGGTATACCACCTCCCATCAAATGTCATACTCCTCTGTCCGCATCGAACATAAGAATTATAAGGGATAAATTGAAACACAGATATCAATATAAACATATTTTAATTTTGACACCGTCAACATAATCACAATTAGGTACCAATACATAGTCTTAACATTTATCCTAAGTTCAATAAACATTTAAAAGAATAGTGGAATGATAGGTTGTGGAGCTTTCCCATACCCAATATTGTGATAATAAATAAAAATTATGGCGAGTATGCCCATGTTCCTCTTTTGGTATTGTAATTGCTCCCTCTAGCGTATAAAAGACACATAAAAATCGCCATAATAAACATTCTTACATTTAGTACCCAGCAGTACTGTGACTAGCATGAATGACATTGAAATAACTGTCATTTACAATACATAATAGTAATATTGCTGTTTTAAATCACCGTCTGTCGCCATCTTTAAATATTTAATTAAAAAAATGTATTTTGTAATCCCACTGACTGTAGTATTCATATACTGATAAAACGTCTCCATACTGTCTGTAGTTTACGCGGGTAGTACACAATTAAATAAAACGCTAAAACGGTTTAAAACGCGAAATATATTAGTTAAAAATAATTTGTAAGCAAGTTTATCTATAGCAGTGTTTAGTTATTTGATTTAAGTATGGAAACTTCTTCAATTTATGCAAAAACTATACTCGAGCTTTAATAAAAATGAACACATGTACTTCACGACAGACAGACAAATAAAACTAGCAAATATCAATGCATATATCCTTACATAGCTGGCATTATGGGCCGCGCAATAATTAATTGTAATCTTATCCTAAACAAAATTCTACCAAACACTAGATTAAAATGTGATAACAAATCGTATGAGGCACGTGGTCTAGTCGATTTTCTATTAAAAACAAATATTATTTTGTTCGTTTGTGACACAATTTTACATCTAAATTCTAGTTATGTGGAAGAACCGTTCGGCTATAATGTTCTAGTAGCTAGTAGTTTTATGAAGGAATTAATTCTCACAATCGCGATATAGCTATATATATTCATCTCTTTCTATTATATTTCATCCTGTTCGCGAGAACGAGACAAATTATAAGCGATGGCTATACACGAATGTGAATGACAGGAAATGTTATATTTAAACAATAAATAGAGCATCTTAAAGTGGCTGGAAACCGATGTAACAGAGGTCAAATTATAAAAAACTTAAGAATTCACATTTATTAGGCCATAATAAATATATTTGATTCAATCATATTAATAAATTATTACGCATTAATTGTATATCGTGATTTAAAATATTTTCAAAAGCAATTGAGGGCACGCGTTTATAAGTCCAAAATTCTTAGTTAGCACCCATACGAATATTCACTATGCAATGGGTGTAAAATTAATAAGACGAAATTAGCCCTCAAATCGATTCCAAGTGGGATTCAAGAAAATACAGTTGTTCAGCAATTTATGCCATCTGTAAAGATTGTGCATGTTGTTTATGTGAAAAAAAAAATGTTTTTCATGCGCTATACCTCATACCTTATCACCTACAGACCAACTAGACAAATATATACGTTCTGATCTTTTAAAATTGTTTTTTTTTTTTTTTTTTCAACAAAAGACAGTCAAGTCATTCGGAAAGTAAAATACCAAATGTATTCGACATTTATAAAACAAACTTCGGCTCCAACTATGTTTGGACCAACGAGTTGGTGAAACTAGTTGACAAAAAATCTGAACAGAACATATCAGAACGTAGATATCTGTTATACAAATTCCGCCCATTTCCATTCATGTACCAAATATTTATATATTTTTTATTTATGTTACATCGCACGTCATGCTAGTTAGCTTCACTTTAGCTTAGTTTCTTTTGAAAAAACTGTATCGTCTGAAGGTTAGAGTTTAGTTGAATCTCTTAATAGAATTTATAACTTAGATGGTCCATTAATTTTGGAAGTAACTGTCATATACACATTTTTATCTTGTAAGTATAATACCTACTGTGTGTAATAATATACTAAAAAAAACTCAAGAAGACAGGAGCTCTTTCCCTTACAACATTGAACGGTATAATCGCATTATATATCGCTCAAAGTGTTTTGAATATTATGGACACTTCAGTGTAAACTACAAATAATATAAAAAAATATCAAGCTGATATTTCATGGTCCAGTAAGATAATATAATGTAAATTGTATAATCATCTTCAAAGACTAAACGCCTTAGTGTAAAGTTAGTTTTGTCTGATTTAACATAACCATTTAGATACCATAGACAATATGAAACAAAAAAGTCGCCCAAATCACACGGAAGAGGGCGTTCTCACCTATATATTTAACAAACACGATAAAGCTATGAATACATATAACGTTATACTCTTGGACTGTGATCCAAATGCCTTAACCATAGACCGAAGAGCAATCTCAAAAGATGCATGATACATGTACACATCTCGTTCTCAGTTAAATTATTATTCTCATCCCAGAAAGTGAATTGCCTAGCGCATTCCATGTAATATACAACTTTAACGAACAACTTGTTAATGCTAGTCCCCAAAAAGGGCTTCCTAATGTCGCGTTCACAACATATTTGGCAGTTGCAGTTCTCTACAACGTTGAAATTAAAGATCGGTGTTTCGGTATCCAATGTCTTCAGGTCTTTAATTTTCGAAAATCTACGCGTTAATGAAGAGAAGCTAACCTTCAATTTTCGTTCGTTTGATATGTCACTCGCATTCTCGTAACTAACCTTCAACGGTACAAACTCTTGCGCACCTAACATCTCCGACGAGCTGCATCGAGGTGGTTTCTTTTTATTCTTCTCAAATATATCATCACAACTTCTAACGTGCGACAAATTCTGCTGAATCAAAACCAGTCTCCTTAAATCGCTGCTCGACTTCTGTTGCCATACATTGGTGGTGACGCCGAGTCGTCTCTGGCGGACATTTCTGCTTTCAATCTCTACGTCTGCACTTCTAGCACTGCATGAGGACATCCTCAATCCTACACCCTCGTTGTTCTCCTCCAAATTTTCCACTGAGTTTTTAGCGGAATCTTTGTAGTCCTCAAAGTTCTTGAACGAGAAGGTCTTTTGTAACTTCTTAACTTGTGGCGAAACATTGCCACTGTTCTTCTCTACGTCCACGCCCTTGTAGCTCTCCCGCAATACGGATAGAGCTAGATTATTTCCGAGAGGCGAATTCGTAACATCCAAAGATACATGCCTGTTTCTGGTCTTGGGGGGTGCCGGTATGTCCTCGAAACTCCTATATTGTTCAAGTCGCAAGTCAGACCGTCCAGCGGACGCCAGCGACCACATCGATGTAGTAGAACTCTCGCTTTCCGACCAATCGGAGCCTAACGCTTGTAAGTAATTGACTATATCTAAACCGCGGTCCAACGATATGGATCTCTGTAGAGGGATATCGTGGCTAAATCTAAAGTCTACTTCTTCTATTTCGTCCTCTTTCTCTTCGAATTTCCCCAGCCACGTGTCTACCTCGCGGCTGTTGAGGTTAGTAACGAGCTCCTGTCTCAGGTCGGTGTGTGTGTGTTTGATCTCAGAGTGGCGCCTGTGTTTGTGTGTGTCGGTGTGAGAGCGTGTGGGATCGGAGTATCTACGCGGGGGCGGAGGCGGCACCGGGGGCCGCGGATAGCTTGCCGCCAAGCGAGCGCGCCCGGCGGGGGAACGGGCCCACGGCGATATCAGACTCAGCAAAGAGCTTGCGAAAACTGTGGGACGATACAATCCTCTCAATACACACCCGTTCTACATAGCTCGTATCGGCTTGCTATCTATGAACTAGCCGAGATCGTAACCAGTGACAAGGGATAGGGATCTTGGTCTAAGAGCATCTGAATGATCTGTATGATTTTAATCATAAGTAAATATTTATTTATCAGGAAACTAAAGTACATGTAATGATAAATATTCACAAGTGAAATAAGGCGACAGCGCATCGTGTTTAGATGTTATATATCTAAAAAAAATGTGCGTCACCATCAATTCACCAATGTTGAAAAATTAAACGTGAAAATGTATTCATCATACAATAAGCTCATTGTAACCCCCACTTTGACCAAGGTACCAAGATCCGTGACCTGTATTATGTTTAGAAAACCAATTTTACGAACCCGCCTATTCCTTACTAGCCCTTAGATAGCAAGCCATACAACGTGACGTCAACCAATGGTGTAAAGAAATTTAAACTAAGTGTAGGTCTTAAAATTTAGTGCCATTAGTGACCCCACAGATTTAAAAACTCTAGCAAGTACACTAAGATTTTCAAATGTAGATATAATAAAAATAGAGAAACAATATTCAATAAAATATCATAGATAAGGAATAATCAGTCATCACTTATTCTAAATATATTGTGCAACTACTATGCTTAGGTGATTGCTTACAATTGATCAAGAAGAAAGCACCGTATTAACGTGTAAATGTTAAGGCATCTATAAAAAATTATCATCCTTATATAATAATAAAGAAGAAAATACAAAAAAAATATCTATATAAAATAGAAGCCTTAGTATGAGTCTGATAGCTGACGAATTACGCCATTTAGTAGAAATTTAATATTCTGTAGTATTTCTACTTAAAGTATAAAAAAGGGAATAATTATTTTATAAAGAGATATTTAAAAAATCACAACAGAGGTTTATTAGGTAGACAAAATATTGAAATTCTGTTTTCGAACATTATTAAAAGTCCGCGGCAACATATTTTTTAATTTCAGGAAACGGTGAAGTAAATTAAAAATTACGTTTTGAGTGAGACTGTTACTCTAACCAATTGAGCTACCGTGTCCTACTACTAGGTATTTGAGGTGTCGGTGATGGCAATCTAGCAATGACTATCGTGGTTTTGCCATCACGAACAGGTGGCATTATCTCTTTGTTGTCGAGATTAGAACTCCTTTGAAAACTGGCCTTATACAATCCACGAATCTTGTGAAAAAATGCGGACTTTTCTGTCAACTACGAAACGCACACTAAGCTCCCTATTCTATTAATGCGGTGCTCGAAACGATAGCGATACCTTTAATGTCTAATACCACGGGCCGAAAGAGATCCTCGGAGGCGGAGACCGTCTGCCCTCAGCGCGCCAAGTCGCCAACCAGAACCTATCCATCACGGATGTAGGGGCGGGATAAATAAAACAGCAAAATAATAGCGAAAACACAAAACTGGAGTATCGTTAACTAAAGTATGGGTTATAAACAATGAGATGAGGTGTGAAGTGGATAAATATGGCGGATTACAGTGACAGTTGTCTTAACTTAATCTGTCCATAAAAAAAAACAGCGGAACTCATACTGTATACATAAAGACAATTATGGAGAACTTCGACGAGAACTGCAAATCTTTACTTTTTTATCACCGTGATCATCAACTATTATTTTTTTTTTCAATTTAAGATTCGAACCAAATATTAAAAATTAGAATTCATCTAATATATAAAATTCTCGTGTCACAGTTTTCGTTGCCATACTCCTCCTAAACGGCTTGACCGATTTTGATGAAATTCTTTGTGCTTATCCGGTATCTATGAGAATCGGCCAACAACTATTTTTCATACCCCTAAATATATTTTTTTAATTTCTATTCTCTCTTCTATACAAAAATACATACAAACCTCAATTATCACCCTTCTACGGTCAACCCTTATTTTTTTAATAGCCATTTTAGTAATGTAATCATTTTTTCTTTCCGGTCGAAAACTGATCAATCATCATTTAATTAGTTATAAATTATTTATATGGCAAAACAACGTTTGCCGGGTCAGCTAGTACTATATATAAAGTAGTTTTTTTTTAAATAATTAACTAATAAAACCGGAGTACATATCCTACTTATTTATTCGAACTTCCTAATGGTATTGTAAATTTTAGAATCTTTTACTGGACCCTGGTATCAAAATGTGAAACCTCCTAACCTGATTGTTGGACAATTGACGCGCTATTTAGTATTGTTAGATTACAAATGTATGAATAAGGATCTGTGAATAAGCGACAAGCGTAGGTGTATACGTCCGTGCGATTCCGTGCGGCCGTGCTAGTGTTGCGATGTATCCGTGTAAGATCTCTTTCGGCCCTGGTCTCATTTTCCACATAATAATAAAACCTAAAATATAAGTCAAAATTTCGATCAATTTATGGCCAAATATGAAACGGCTATAGCGAATTTGTAAGTCGGATTTTAATCTTATTATAACAATATACAAAATGAAAATCGGGAACTAATTCTATGTCTACCTAAATAAATTTGACAAAAGTGCAATTAAAATCCAATATACATAGAAGCTATAAACCACTTGAAACTTAAATTTATTCATGCCTAAACATTACAACCAATCAAAAGAAAAATGTACCAGAACCAAATAAACCCGCGCTTGTGTATAGCTTTCTCCCTTACTCGTGTGTTTTGTTTCTTTCTATTTATACCAAACAAGATGAGACAAAACACAGTCTAGAATGAGTAAGAGGGAAACGCGATAGTGGCATTTAGTTTTGACATGTGACGCACACGAGATGTGGTTGTTAAAAACAAGGCCAAAGAAATTCCCATACATATAAAATGTTTGTCGTTTGCAAAGTTAAAGCGGCAGCAACGTGTAACATAAATAAAAAACACAAAAAGCAAAATATAAGAAACTATTATTTGTGTCGTTATTGGATATTTATTGCAAATCACTAATCTATATGTAAAATAAAAATGTCCATACATTTTTTCCTAAATATATTTTAACTTATTTGAATTAACTTTATACCTATAGAATTGTTAGGGTTTGTTAGGAAAGCTTTAAGGCAAGTGGATGAAGAAGATATGAAGTAGAGGACTGTATACTATTCTACTATCTTATAATATATATCTAATTGGCATTGAATATAAAAATTTTCTATTTAGTTAGAGCAAGTAAAATTCCATAGAACATTATCTAATTAAGAATAGTTAACAGCCCTCCCCAGTCATGCACAGTCCCTATAACATGAAAGCAATGGATAAAATGACATGCAACATGCGTTACGCAAGTCTGTAGTCTGAACTACTCATTTAGAAAATGAAGCCATAAAGAAATAAATACTCTTGTTAATAATTGCGGCCGCTAGAGGCAGAGTAGCCTAACTGCAATTTTATGACTTGACTTATTTATGTTTTCATAGTCTAAAAATGTTGCACAGTGACTGAAAATTTTTAACATAATTCTTACACAAGGAATAGGACAAATTAATTTCGCCTAAGTTAATTGGGCATTTTTATGTTCTTCCTTACTAAAAATCATGTTTTTGTTATTAGGCCGCTCTGTATCTAGCAGCCTTAATGTGTAGTGAAAGAGGTTTTCATTTATATTTAATCGTATAAGCGAGGAGGTACCTACAGACTATTTATGCAGTAGGAAATAAGCTCTGACCACAGACATTTTGCAGATAGATGTTTCAGTCTTGTTTTTATGTATGCTTATGAAGAGCTCGAATACCAGTAAATAAGTTCAACTAATATATCGCGTTTTAAACCGTTGAAGTGTTTTATTTGAACCAGTTAATAGTTTGCTTCCGTATTCTATTCATAAATGTTTCTGTAATCTGGAGCATATGCTCTTTTGCAAAAAAATATGTTTAATAAGTATTTTTTTTAAGATTACTCGAATAGTAAGCATTTAAACAAAACGCTTCTAACAGTTTACAAAACGTAATATATTGTTACTTATCTTCAGATAAGTAAATTTTACACATTTTAACGCAATTGCGTAATATCGTGAAAATGTGTTTTATTACTCTTATCGGTCACAAATTGTGTTTAATTTTGTTATTTATTGATACTTTACAACGATAAAACAGACTCCCCGTGACCACGGCTGCTGCAAACCATCCGAAACGTCGGGCCGAAGTTAAAAATCATTTCAAAATAAGTTTAACTAATATATCGCGTTTTAAAACGTTAAAGTGATTTATTTAAACGATAAAATAGATAAAAACCGGTATCGAGCTCTTCATGTTTCCATACCGTTTGGGGTTATAGAGGTGCAATACTCACAACTTCCTGATGCCGCTGTTTCGTTTCCAGGGTGCGTCATCCGGCTCCGCCGGTAATGGGCCTTGAACTGGGGCTTCTTCCTCCTCTACGACTGTACTGCTGAGCGATGGCGATGTATCCGAGCTGCTGCTGGAAGACATTAGTTGATAACTACAGTAACGTAACGTAAAGTTGATAACGACCCCTCTTGCCTGGTGATCCCAGTAATCCGGTCGGGCAATTCGCGAGGGAGGAAAATCGCGCGGGCAGAGGAGCGACCTCTCGGGATGTCCAAGAGATCGTGTCTTCTAGCGCGACCATATTTGTTCGGGACAAAGAGTCGACAGAAAGCCTCCCGCAAATAAGGAACATCGATTTGGTTTTGAAACAACTTACAAGCTACAATTACATAATGATAAAACGAGATAAAAATATTACTATTAGGACCTCGAACGTATTTAGTACCACTTGCGATGTAACTTCTCATTATTTCTGTTTAATAATGAAAGCTTTCTTCTGACACGTATTCCATAACACATTTATATGTTGGCAGAATAAATTAAGAACTCGTTACTGCTTCGATCAATTTTTTATTAAAGGGATTTTTTAGTGTAGTGCGATGGATTTTTCCTTGTATTTGTCCGAGTATTGAAACTGCTTAATCGCTTTAAATGTTTGTGTCATAAATCCTTTTCTATTGCTAAAAATAATATCTGTATTTTCTCCAACATTTCACCTACATACATTAAAGACCTTTCACTTGAAGAGATATTATAAAATAAGATTTAGAGATTAGAAGATTTAAAAACCAATACGCCCTTTCGGTATCCAGTAAATCGAATATCATTAATTTCTTATAAAAAAATTTAAGTAGTTTCTGTAACGCGAAAAGTAGAAATTATCCGTAAAACAGGTGGCGCTAGCGTAGCAAATTTGACGTGGACATTAACATATTCAGTCCCCTCGTAACCATGGCAGGTGCAAAGCATCTAAAACCTCACACGATAGTTTTAATTCTGTAAACGATATATTTCGCGTTTCAAACAGTTAAAAGTGTTTTAATTAAATGTTGATTGAAACGTTATATATCACCTATCCGGTTGCGGCTCCGCCTGCAACGCCTGCAGTTGCTCCTCCGCCCTGTTCAGCTTGAGCTTGAGGTCGTTCCGTTCTTGTAGAATCGCGCGCAGCTCTCGCACGCTGAAAGTGGGTTTCGAAGATTGGTCTTCGTCGTCCGTGCCCTCCGGGAACGACACGCCACATGATGCACACTTCTGGCGAAAAGATCGAACTTGAATTATTATTGTAGTGTTTGAGTAGAACCTACAGTCCTTAGTACGTATGACACTGTCTCGTGCCTACTGTGTGGCGGGGTGCGCGGTCATTGCAGCGAGAGCCAAGGGGCGAGAGCGGACGTGTCGCCTGCGCACACAGTGAGTTGCCGAGCCAGTGAGATTGCATTATAAAGGCACTACAAGTGGCGACGAGGACAAAGGTCAGACTATTTAATTTATATAATTCAAATTGAAATAAAATAAAAGGGGTCAATGTACTAAAAAAAAAAGAAATAATAATGATAAAATCATGAACACTCAAACCATTGTGAAATTACCTACAGGCAATTACAACCGCTCAAGAGTACAAGTGCATTTGTTTATTTCATTCGTGACTCGTTTTATTAAAACTATGTTAATATCGCTCATTGTTGTTTATAGTTGTCGAATTTAAGTAGCTACTGCCTATATTGGCATAATAGTGTCCTTATCGCTGGTGTCGCAAACAGGTTGTTACAAATTTTAGTTTTAGACTCCGAATAAATAACTACCCGCCGGTTCGCTGCAACTTCTAAACAACATAGTGCGGGTGCAGATGTTCATAATTATTATTCAATGTAAGTGCGGACCCGATAAAAGTTTTTATTGTGTTTCTATAATAATAATAATTTATTTGTCGGACCATAAATCCATACATTAATTTAATTAATTCTAATGTGCGTTAGTTGGGTTAGTAACAATTATAACTTAAAATGTATATTAGAATGTGTTAGTCACTAAAATTAAGTAGACAGAATACATAGAATAGGTGCTAGGCGCTAAGGGGGAGCATGGACGTCACTCCATCGTTTTAGCAGCACCGTATACTTTTCACACACTGCCTCCAGAATGCTTATGGTGCTTTGTCGAACTCGATACATGAGGGAAGCTACACGCTTGCGGATGATGGCGTGGAAAGCAAAGTCTATGGGTCGGTATACAATATAGTTACTATTTATGTTTATTACAATTATACCTTAAGTTATATTAATTACGTACCCTCTAAAATGTTACAAGTGGTTTTAGACATTTATTAAAAAATGTACACATTCACTCATTACTAGGTTAACTAAATATTACATTCAAATTTGGACAGTATTGTTATTTAACACAACTATAAGAAGGAGGTAGTTGAACAGTATGTCTTGGTATTATTATCTAGCTTTGACGTCGTCGGCGCGAACGCAGCTGATCGAGTAAACATACAAAGATAAGCGATACCAGATGGTGCATTCGCACATCACATTAAGTTTATTATTTTTCTGTATTATTTCTAGACAGAAACATCTAGTTTTATAGTTTCATGAATTTGATTTACTTATAGTATTTTCTGTTTTTGCTTGAGATATATTTTTTATTTGTTGTAGGTTGTATCTGTGTGCGAAATTTACTTGTTAATTATAATAAATTTAATTTACATGTTTTTTAGTAAATGTTCTTTTATTTTTTGTTTAAATAATTTGTAGGAGTTTATTTGTTTAATTTTATTTTGGTATATTGTTATATATTTTGGCGTATATAAGTACCCACTATATCAACTTAAAATGGAATTGCAGACGTTTTTATATAAATCTACTAGTGTAAAATGTTACATCGCCCACTTCTATAATTTTGTGCATACTCATGTATAGCTAGTTAACTCCAAAAAAATGGTACAATGATACCCCCATTCGATTGGAAATAAGTGGTACAGTGATACCTCCATTAAATTGGAAATCAATGGTATAAAATACCCCCATTCAATTGGAAATTTGTGGTTAATTACACCTCCAGTAAATTGGGAGTCAATGGTATAAAATACCACCATTAAATTGGAAATTTGTGGTTAATTACACCTCCATTCAATTGGGAGTCAATGGTATAAAATACCACCATTAAATTGGAAAACATGGTAGTTTATACCACCATTAAATTGGAAAACATGGTAGTTTATACCTCCATTAAATTGGGAATCTGGCACGTAAGTACCACCATTAAATTGGAAATACATGGTAGTTTATACCTCCATTAAATTGGGAATCTGACACATAAGTACCACCATTAAATTGGAAAACATGGTAGTTTATACCTCCATTAAATTGGGAATCTGGCACATAAGTACCACCATTAAATTGGAAAACATGGTAGTTTATACCTCCATTAAATTGGGAATCTGGCACATAAGTACCACCATTAAATTGGAAAACATGGTAGTTTATACCTCCATTAAATTGGGAATCTGGGACATAAGTACCACCATTAAATTGGAAATACATGGTAGTTTATACCTCCATTAAATTAGGCATCTGGCATAGAAGTACCACCATTAAATTGGAAATTTACAAACAAAATCGCGAAAGGTTTTATTATTTTTTATGTCGCGCCTTTCAGCTCATGACAAATCTACCTACATTGGAAAAGTTGGATTTGGAGGGAGATAGTCATTAGGCCATTTGGAAAAAGTGGAAACGTTCATTAAATATATACTAAGAGGCTACAGATATAACAACACCGATGAAAAAAGGGCGACACTTCTACTTCTTGGTGGATCGGGCCTTCAAGAAATTTTCTATAGTTTCCCGGGTGCCAATGCTACACCCTCTGGTGATAATAATGTTTTTGACATAGCTATTCAGAGACTCGACGATTATTTCACTCTAAAGCAAAGCAAAATTTATGAAAGACATTTGTATCGTTTAATAAGACAAGACGAAGGTAAAATATTCGATAAGTTCTTAGTAAGGCTGCGGAATCAAGCTGAAAAATGCCAATTTGATAAGCCGGACGATCACCTAATCGATCAAATAATAGAGAAGTGCCTCTCTGTTGGTTTGTGAAAGAAAATTTTGACAATACGAGATAGTGTAACATTTAGACAAGATAATCACAGAGGCTAATACTCTAGAAGTTGTAAAACGTAAATTGGAAGAATATGGTCAGCTAAATAAATGAACAGAGGTGCATGCAGCGGAGTCTTCGAAAAATAAAGGAAGATTTAGCAGGAGTAGGTCCAGGTCAAATTCAAATAAAGGGTGTGGCAGATGTGGAAATTCGAGACACTTGTCATGTTAAAAACTGCCCGGCGTTAGGCAAAGTATGCTATGCATGTGGAAAAATAGGCAAGCAGTATTACAAGACAGGTATTCAGAAAAAGGAAATTGGAAGGAACTGATAGGAAGCGATGGAAAAACCTAGTAAATATCCCAGCCTAGAATCAAGGTAAAGTTTAAAAAATATAACAGATGATGAAGTCGATTATGTTTTTAAAATCAATAATGATGCAAATATAGAACGTGATGTGGGTATAAAAAAACTAAAATGTTGATTGATTCCGGATCTAAATATAACCTAGTCACTGACAAAATATGCATTGCACAACAAAAGCTTTAAAAAAGAAATGAGTTGCAAAGCTTTTTGGGCTTCTTAACAACGACGACAGAGCCATTGAAACAATTATTTAGGAAGAAATTTGGCAAAAATGCTAATATCGAGGAGTTATGGACCCAAGAACAGAATCAGGCTTTTGAGAACTTAAAAATAAATAATCTCTGACCAAAATTCAAAACCTTGGATACTACGACATAAACGACAAAACCCAGGTTATTGCTGATGCCAGCCCTGTCGGATTAGGCGCAGTTTTGGTTCAAATTGATGCCAACAGACCCCGAATTATTGCTTTTGGGAATTGCACATTAACCGAATGCGAGCGTAGATACAGCCAAACTGAAAAGAGGCTTTGGTTTTGGTTTGGGCTATAGAGCATTATAATATATTTCTATTCGGCAAGGAGTTCGATTTAATCACTGATCATACACCCTTAGAGGTTTTGTTTGGAGTGAGGTCAAAACGTTGTGCTAGGATAGAGAGGTGGGTACTACGTTTACAGGCGTATTGGTATAACATCATATACAAGCCTGGAAAGATGAACATCGCAGATCCATTATCACGACTGTGCATAATCTCAGATTGCAAAAAGACCAATGACGACGAACATGTCAACCAGATTGTAGAAAATGCTAAACCATGCGCAATTTCTTTGACCGAAATTAAAATGCATTCAGAGCAAGATTCGGAAATACGTTAAGTAAGGCAAGGTATCTACGACAAGAACTAAGAAGATAATGTCATAGGATATAAGATCTTCGAAAATTAATTGTACTTTTTCGGTGATATACTCCTAAGAAGAAATAGAATAGTTATAGCATCCGTATTTCGGAAAAGAGTTCTAGACGCTGCACACGAAGGTCACCCTGGGATTGTCGGCATGAAATGACGGTTACGGACCAAAGTATGGAGGCCAAAACAGACAAGGATTCTGGATGCCTGGTATAGAGTTGTAAGGGCTGTACTTCAGTAGAATTACCAATTCCGCCAGCTCCTATGAAACGTCGGGAACTCCTAGATGCACCTTGGGTGGATATAGCAATGGATTTACTAGGGCCATTACCCAGCAATGATTATTTATTAGTCGTAGTAGATTATTATAGCCGTCACAAGGAAGTGAAGATAACGAAGACCATTACTAGTTGTAATAATCAAGCTATTGAAAGAAATATTTGGCAGCCTAGGTTATCCATCATCAATAACGGCAGATAACGGCCGACAGTTTGTGAGTGCAAAATTTAAAGATTTTTGCAACGAATGTAATATAAAACTTTTTAGTACAGTGCCTACTGGCCTCAACAAAATGGCGAAGTAGAGAGACAAAACAAAAGTATTGAGAAAAAAGATTTACAAGATAGCTTGAATGACTTCCTCAAGATGTATAATTCAACACCTCACTCTGTAACAGGGAAAACACCAACAAAATTGTTTTACAAAAGACAGAACTTAGAGGCAAAAATAAAGAACAAAAAGAGAGAGGAAAAGAACACGGAGACAAAAGAAGAAAGGCACAGAATGTGGATTTGAGCGGAGGAGACAGAGTTTATGTAAACCAAATGTCACAAGCTTGCCCCAAATTATAACCCAGCACCACACATACATGACAGACTCTGAGGAGAAACATATTACCTTTAAAGAGAGTAGAAGGCGAGTGGATATCAATGCAAGATATTTAAGAACCTAATCTGACAAACAACAGTAGAAATAAAAAAAAACAGTGAGTTACAGTAAATTGTTAACTTATATACTATTAAGAGTAATCAAGGGCAATTGTATCAAATGATTAAAAAAGTTTTTGATAAGAAAGAGATGTAGTGTTTGAGTAGAACCTACAGTCCTTAGTACGTATGACACTGTCTCGTGCCTACTGTGTGGCGGGGTGCGCGGTCATTGCAGCGAGAGCCAAGGGGCGAGAGCGGACGTGTCGCCTGCGCACACAGTGAGTTGCCGAGCCAGTGAGATTGCATTATAAAGGCACTACAATTATAATTATCATTAATATACATGAGAGATTATGTAAATAAAGAAATAATAGACCAAGACGTCGTCAACTCAACGACGTTTCGCCAAATACCAACAACGGAATAGATGGCGTTAGAGGAGCAGTTTCTACTCTGAGATAACAGATACCCTCCATCTTTAGTCTCCCCGTGACCAGGGCTAGTCCGAAACGTAGGGCCGTAGTTAAAATAATTTCCATTTTATATTTAATGTATATTATATACGATGTATATTTCAATAATATACATCGCGTTTTAAACCGTTTAAGTCTTTCATTTAAATGTATACTACTCGCGTATACTACAGAGAGTATTTGAGTAATTGTTGAGTAATCTAGTTTTTATAAAAGCAAAAATATAGTTTTTGTCTAGAGAAGTACGTTTTAAAATTAATATATATATTTTTCTCTTGCGTGTAAAATTTATTTCGTAAATCCATCAATTTATCAATACTTAATTTAGCTTATTCAAAGCAACCAAATAAATTTTTGGTAAATAGATAATTTAAAAAATAGTAAGTTCATAAAATATAGAAAATGAATGAATATACCTTGTTCTGTGCGTCTGATTGCTGTAGTGCGGATATATCTCTCTGTTGGGACTGGACTATGGCCGACAATTCCGTTCTCTCCTCACATACTAAGCGCATCTGAAGTACATAGGTGATACATTTGAATATTTTTTTTTCTTCGTGAATTCCTAAGACACAATTATTCCTATAATGTTTTCCTGGGATGTGAACCCAGGATCATTCACGCTTAACGCAATGCTAGGCGACACTTTTAACCATTTAGCTACAGAGGCGGGTAGTTTATTAAAAGACTATATAAATATATATCTTTCGGGTGTTCCCCTTAAAAATACTTTATTTTGCTTGTTGTTCTAATGCTAGTAATGTGTGACTAATATTCGATTGGTCGCGAGTTTTATTCCCAAAGGTCAAACATGTTTCTTACTGTTGTTGCCGCATCCGTTCTTTGGCGTTTATTACTTTTATTATAATCAGCCCCACTTACTTGATTTTGTAGCTGCTTATGCTTCCGTCGAAGATCTCGGCTGACCTGCGCCAATTTCTCTACTTGATTCGTCAACTGTAACGTATCCAAAATTGCCATATTTTAAAAAATATTTCACGAACCTATATTACATAAAGAATATATGGCATAGAACACGTGCCAGATACGAAACTAAGACTATTTTTGAGTACAGCCGTTCAATATTATCTTAAACCAATGCCCAAATTTGCGATAAGCCACCTAACAGTTGACTGGCACTTGCAACGAGATAAGATTACAAATAATCCAAAACTTCAAAACATAGGCGAAAAAGTCAGAGCACGGTATTGTTGGTTTTTTGAGAGCATAAAATAAGCATTAGTGCATTTTCCTAGTGCTAGAAACATAGCACCATGATTGATCTAAAGTATTAATACACCACAGCTAGAAGCTGTCGCGTTAGAGATCTCTCTCTCTCTTAGGCGTCCCTATCTACCATGGTTCATGAACCTTTTCTTCTTCTTGCAGAAGTCGATAATCCGCCACATCGGAAGGGACCGAAGAACATACTACTCCAGTAACTCTAACCATTTCAGGTCTCTCTTCCTTCCATGATATAACATCCTCGTCTTCTATCATCGCTCGTAAGATGTTTGTTTGTTGTGTGAAAAAATGTCACTGTATTTACCACGATTACTTAGCATAACATAACAATTGTAAAAATGTTAATGAACTACTTAGAATTTAATTTATACTCTACTAATCCCCGTGGATTAGTAGAGTATAAATTAAATTCTAAGTAGGCATTTAGCATAAATGTAACCATCTAGAATGTAATATACTTCAAAAAGGTCAGCTAAGCTTGCAAATATGACCGTATGAAAAGTGTAAAAAAGCTTTAAAAATAGCGCTATTTAACACACTAAAGGCAAAATCTGGGTCACGCGTAGGTAGATCAAAAATAAAAATAAGCAAGTATTCGACATCGCTTCAGATGCTTGTTCCAGGCGAGATAATATTAATACCTTATGCTGCCATTTCTTAAAGTTTCTCATGTGGAAAACTCTCTTTACACAACGCTTCGTGTGAAGAAAATTTACACGTAATTTTTCCTATTACACATGGTTTTTTTTGAACATTTTAAAAATGAGCATGTGGTATGGTCATAAGTGAACACTTAAAATGATACCAGAAAAGATGCTTGTAAATTGGTCGGAGGACAATCTATAAATTCTACTAACTTAAGTTTTCGACAGCAAAGATATTGAAATATTTATCTCTTTTATTATTTTCTTTGACCGTAAACATAGCACCATGTCTAAATTAATCCTCCTATAAGTTAATCCTCGCATATCTCAAGCTGGACTCCACTAGTAGAAAGGTGAAAGCAAGATACAAGAGATGCCAGGACATGTTAAATAAGGCAGTTGGAGAATGGTAAGGAAGAACAAAAGACAGAACAGAGTGGAAGCGAATGAAGGCTTCTACTTATCCAAATCCCAATATCCTGTATAATATATCTCATATGAAAACTTTTATATTTTTCACATGTTATTGCACATAATGGCGTAATGTAAATTAAAAATCTATATGGATTCAACAATTATGAGACAGGCGGCACACGAACCGGCATCCAAAGCGTTCCGTGCTGCTGCTCTAAAAAATTGAGCTACCGTGTCAGAAGTTGTAGGACACGGTAGCTCAATCAGTGGCACGGTGGATGTAAGTTCAAGTCTTGCCAGTTGGGTAATGTTTATTCAATCTAGATAGATTTTGAATTATCTAATAATCATCTTATAATCCTCGGAGGCATTTAAGCTTCAGACCCCGGAGCAAATCAATTTCATAACAGTAAAAAACCACCACATTTCCTTACGTAAGTGAAGGTCACTTAAAACATCTCAATTTGCCGCTTACAACTGTTTCGCTCTGGTTAAAGTGCGTTACACCATAATTAATTTATATTTAACAAACAATTTTGTCACAGCGGACCGAACTCTTTTTGCGTAATTAATTCCAGCGTGAGGTGAATTGATTTTATACTTCGCCTTAACTCGTGTCCAATTGGTTACAAGCTTCATTAAAAAAAAAGTTAACAGATTCTTTGAGTAATTAGATATATCACAACTGTATTTTAAGCTGGTAATGTCCTACTGTGAATTATTTTAGCTCAAAACTTCTGTGCGCATAATGCTATCAGTTCTTAATCATGTTTGCAAGGCATAATGTTATCGTCCATCAAATCCCAAACTTATCTATCCTCCTTTGAGAATCTTTAACAATTTGCACATGATGGCATGACCAAATGAGCTCATCGTCGTATTTTTTCAACCTATTAATGCATGTATCTCTTTAACATATTGAGGTTCAATGTCTTATGCTTGGCAGCTTAAGAAATCATTGAAGATTAAATTACAGAGTTTAACGTTTGATAGCTAATATTTATCATATGACGGCATTATATAAAAAGTCCCACTTTGTCTATACATATATAAGCAAACAAACCCCCATTTAATAAAACAGTCCAGTTATAAACAGCAAGCACCATTATACTACATAAAATGAAGCTAACAGACGCCGAATTGAAAATAATGAGATTCTCAAGCATCGAAGTAAAAAACAGAAATTTGCATTTGCATGAATAATTTCAACATTTTCGTTGTGAATATAACTCGCGGTTGAGTTAAAATCGAACATTTGATGCCATGTCTGTCGTAATATCATTCTACAATTTTTAGATCTAGAGAATGTAGACGCCTTTTGACGGGCGAATAATCAACTGACCGGGTTCTGTCCTCCTCTATTATAGAAAAATAAGAGGTTCCGGCTTTGAATCCCATTTTTTCTGATTCTGTGAAATAATACAGGCCCACGTCGGGCTTGTGTGATGTGGGGAGTGTGGTAAATCGGACTTCACGATCTTTAGTCGAGCTGACAGTACCAACCCTACCAAAGGTGAGAGTCGACCAGATCGACCAGTCTTCGGTCCCCATTACCATCACCAATTTAGTGACGGTAGCATGCCAATCCTCACTGAAACAGCTTATAGGGTAAAGCTCTTAAATCCTCTCTACTATGAGGACATAAATAGGTTGAAACGACTGGATAGTATTAAGCGAAGATAAAGGAAAACGTTACCTACGAGTACTTCACGTAAAACCCAGTTAAAAACTGTTTTCACTATTCGGTATTCATGTAGAGGTCAAAGTCAAAATACAAGGTCGATGTTACAATATTATTTGAGATTAAATAGTATATGAGACAGTGTAAGACGAAATACTGAAATCACAGTTAACATTATAAAATCGATATAACAACTCAATGTATAATACATACATTATATACAATTCACGACGCTTTTAACCGTTTAAAACGCGAAATATATGAATTAACATATTTTAACTATGGCCTGACGTTTCGTATTGTCTGCATCAGCCGTGGTTACTGGGGTACAGAAGCTGAAGGATATCCCTAATGTTAAAGTCAAGAATTTGCTACGTCAGCGCCATCTATTTGCGTTTTCACGCGTATTTAAATGTGTACTTCTTCCGTAAACTACAGACAATACTTAATATTAAATTATTGTGATTTAAAATCGCTGAGACGCATCGTTAAACATACTAAAAGCTTTATTTAGAAGTTAACGTTACAGATTCTATTTACAAGAAATGATCAAATCAGAATTCACACATGGACGGCATCGCTCGTTTACAGCATATGCATGAATATGCATGAGACGCCCGTTGCATAATAATTGCATTCAAGTAATGGATAGCGTTGGTGTGTGTTGGCTATATTACTCCATTGTCAAAACGCTGTAAGAACGATGTAATGTTTACCTACTTGTGTGAATATATAGTGTATGTATCGTCTGATATATAGTGTCGATCTATTTTAGCATTAGATATTCGTATGATGTGTTGCAGTAAACGATATACGTTCTGAGTTTTTAAATAATTCAAAAATGAATTCAGAATATTCGACCCTAAAGGGTTCACCGTACATTTAATTATTGTATTTAAGCGAAAGTTCCTAGGTTTGAATACATGTGAAACAATAATTACATTCGAGTGAGGGAAATCTGATCAACTAGTGACCTGAAATTAAAATTTATTGGCGTGGTTTAACCGTAATGTGGCTGAAACAGATATTTCCACTGTGTATCCAAAATACTTGAAAGTAAATATTGACATAGCGTTAAACTGTGATTTGAGGAGCAAATAAATTGATAAAAATATCTTGGTATTGATAGAACAAAAGAAATCTCACCTAAAACTCTATCTGAAAGATAAACATCTGAGATAGTGAAAGAAAGTTGTTTGCGAAGACGCGAATGTTTGAAGCAAAATTAAATACTTGCGCCCCGCTGGCGAACAATCTCGTAGTTTGCGAAATAACTTTGCAAGTCAAAAGCCTCTACTTAACCTGCATTCCAGCGATACACAACTCTAACTAATGGTAATTCATAGGCCCTTCGTTCGACTGCGACGCGCCAATTAAGGCTTTGTTGGTGCAAGTGGAGATTGCAAATGAAAAGATTCTTCTTTGGTCTCAATTGATGGAATGCCCAAACAATACTGGAGGAGTTTATACATACCATTAAGTACTATAGACGTGAATTTTGATGGTAAAAACGAGAATCTTTTTCGATGAGGGACACGAGGCTAGCCTATAAGCTGTTTTACAATTCGACTTTCAGGCTGTTGATGAGATTTGATAGAACGGGTTGATGTACCGGTAGCAATGTAAGGAAAGGCAATCAAAATGGCGTGAGTTCGATCCCCATCGTGTCCAACATGTTGGTAATCATTTTTTTTTCCGAAAGTATCCGCTAGATATTCCGAGTCACGTATGTACACCAAAGATGAAAAAGCCGTCAAGTTTAACCGCGTTTCGGCTTCGCTCCATGGATTTCCGAATATCCAAAGCTAAAATACGTCGACAGAGCATCTTGTTTAGATATTATGGTTGGGTATATCAAGTGAATCTTATTTTTGTCTATCCTCCTCTATCATATGTAAATGTTTTACCGGGATTTGAGGAATCGTACCTAACATAAAGATGCCGTGCCTAACTTGCGGTAACAATTGCACATA